ATTAAGGATCAAATAATTAATCTAAATTTATCTAACATTTAATTTTAAATATAAGAATAATTTTAAAAAAACTGCACAGGGCGTATGAAGATATACATAGTGCCCAATCCAAGTGACAAATAATGAAGCTGAAATCTTATCGTAACACAGATATTAAAAATTTCTATGCAGTGGAACCTTGAATCATAAAATGTTATCTGGAAAAAAAAAAAAAAAAACCCCTCAGATGACAAACAATGTCTTGAGTTACAAATATTTCTGCTGGCGACATGATTTTAAGGTAGCTTGAGGTAAACCTGTGCCACATAATACTCAGGATTAAGGTTAAAGACAGTTAGCAATCTGATGCTTATTATGACAGGAGATTTCACATCCATACAATAACAGCTTCTTCGTACAGGTACAGTAAAATAAAGTTTTCATTTATCTGTTCGAAATTGTGTTTATTTTTTAAATATTTAATATTTCCATCAGTCCTGGGTCATGAACTTTTACATGAAGTACTGTCGTAAAGTTTAAATAAGCAATCATCTGTGAATTGATAAGTAAATTAATCAATTTTACATTAATTCCGATGGGAAAATTGTTTTGGTTTATGAAAATTTCTATTGACCAATGGCCTTCAAAACATATCAGCCCATTGTGGTCTTAGAATTATAAGATTTGTCAGAGGAGCTCCACTCTAGCCTTAGAAAAATATATCTTAAAATAATATTTAAAATAAATCAATATGCTACATAACTTTATGGTAAAGACACTTGAAGAAAAGTATTGTATTTTTATTAACAAATTTTAATACAGTGTAATTTACTCGTTAACAGCATTAAATCGTGATCCAGGTATCACCTACAGTTGCATTACATTAAGTTACCGAGATTTATGCATTATATTTGGTTACTGAGATGTATATGCATTTCAAAGAAGACAAAATGTATCTTTGCATTTTACAGTTAAGAAGAAACACTAGTCAACTAATGTGAGTGCTTTAACATTTTCTTCTCAAATTTTCATTTTGACTCACGGAACCCTAGGGTTCCATGGAACATAGTTTGAAAACCATTGGTCTACAGGAACAAACTGAGTTCACTGTATGTATTCCTACTTTTAATTTTGTTTGAATAAGAATGTACGTTTTTCAAAATACCATTTTGTATTCAAAAAAGAAATGCAAAATGTGGATATTTTAAAACCGATTCAGTTTTAAAAATGAAATGAAATGTTTTATATTCAGGAGTACACATTTAGTTTCATGAGCTTGCAAAATGAGGACAGGTGTATCATATATACATCAGAAGCTAATCCTCTTACCAGACGGCATGCTGTTTAGCACAACTAACCTTCGAGACAGGTGCAATGCACCAGTGCATCGCCTGTCTTCAGAGGGTTTTTAGTTCAGCAACACGCCGTTGCAAAGGGGTTAAGAAAAGAAATAACATATTCGTATATATTTTTTCACATGTATTTTTTAACTGTAAACTCTTTTTTGAGGTGTTGAGACTAATATAAAATTTACAGACTGCAAGTCTCTACCTGGGGCCAGAAAATTACTTTATCATTTTGTCTGCAATAATTCACTTTAACTGTTTTGTGAGCTAACATTAAAAATTTTATTTGAAGGCACTTCTAAGAGATAAATTTGCTTTCATTTATTGCATAGACTGCAGCACTTGGATTTAAAGTTACATATTTGTTGAAGGAAGGTATGATGAATTAAATTAACAATGAATTTCCAGTATTTATTTGACTCTTTGAAATAGACTGAAAAACAGTCACAATCTCAATCAATCTCCACAAGGCCTTTATTGAAATAAGATAGCAGACATATAAAAATAGCCAAAATTATCTTTGTTCACAGGCATTAAATGCTGATTTACAAGAGTTAAAAATATTTTTTAATATAAAAATTTTAAGATAATGCACACTAAATTTCACATACCTTTTAATTAAAATAAGTAAGCAGACAATGATAATTTATTTCCTACTTTGCAATTTCTTACCATATTGACTTTTTATCTGCAAATAAGAAGTAAACAGTTCATTCTTGTACAACAGATATTCTAAGTAATAAGATATCATTCTTAAGTATCACAAAACCATAATTATTAAATGCAAACACTGGTGAATTGGATACTCACATAAACAAAAAATTAATAAAATTAATTTTTAAAATTTTATTTAAATGAACAGATTTTCTCATTTTTACAACACAGCTTATATTATAACAATTTCATGAAAGTAATCTGTATAGACAATTTTTATCAGCCAAAATAAAGATAATAACATATATAATGAGAATGTGATAAAATTTCAAGCCATTAATACTACATTATGATCTAAAACAAATTGTTATGAGAAACTTATGAAACATCTTATTCTAAAATTTTATAAAACACAAATCAGACTTCTGTCAAAACAGCAAATTGAGTTACTGGAAAAGATGAAGAATTAAAAAGTGATGGCAAAACAGTTTGAGCAATTTAATCCAATTGATGTAGAGGTATTATAGGACAAAATTTAATTCAAAAAATCCAATTTATACTTTTATAAAAAAATGCTACATATGATCGTGTTTTAAAATTTAATGTTTTCATGCTAAAAATTATCACCTCAGCATTATAAGAAATGAAATAAAAAATTGAATTTTAAATCTTTTCAAGAATTGTGTGCATTTAAAAAGTGATTTAATTAAAAAACACAATAAAATTAATATAGATGAATACTTAATATCTTTTAACTCCTTCCCAAATGCACTGAAACATTAATGAATAAGATATATATAATTTTTAAACTGAATTTTTATGGTCAAAATATAAGCATAAAAACAAAAATAAATATTTACTATGCAACACCAATACATGGCAAACTTTACAGATCAAACAAAATATTTGTTATTGTTTACTCTTGAAAGTAATATGAAATTACAATTAATCTCTCCACAGTAAAGAATTTACTCATTTTCTTTTTTATATAAAAGCAGCCAATGATATACACAAACAAATTTGAAATATGCAACTTGGCTTATACGTAGCTTTTTTACATATGGTTCATACAAATAAACACATAACACTAAGTGTCATCACCAAAGTTTCTAGTCAAGGGTAGACTACTGTTATGCTTTTTAGAAGCCAAATTTTACATATTAATTTTGGAACTTCATGGGATTGATGTCACTAATTCCCACATATATCAAGGATCCACTGCATATATACATACACACACAGTACAAATTCCAAAACCCAGGCCCTTCTGTTTACAAGAGGAGAAATAAATAAATAAAAAAATAACTAAAAAAATTTTTCCCCTTACAAAATGTAGAAATGAAGCACACACACACAAAAAAAGGGGGGGCAAAAGAGAGAGAGAGAGAGAGAAGGTGTGCAGTTAATGTGATCCCCTCCAACTGAGATTCATGCACGCCACCTATATCTATAGGCTTGGGAGTAGCAAGTAGACAATAATAACAATACACTTATTGGCACTGTATTGATATTGGCTAGGATTACATTTTGGACCCTTAAGTAGTTGTGTGGGGAGATGGGCCAGCACTTCTTATTTAAATTCTGAAAATTTTGCTATCCTTAATTTTTGCTGTTACGTGCTTTTCAAAATTTTAGTTTATAACTTCTATTATTTTCCTTTCTCATTTTGAATGTACTGTGTGTTTTAAGTTCTTATATTCTTAAGTTCTTATTTTAAGTCTCAAGTGCGTTTTTTCGCGACTGAATTACGTTCTCCAAAAAGTACGAACTTCATTGCAAACTTTCTGTAAAATACATTCATTACATGTTAATACCATAGAGATATCTTTCATTTTGTCACATTTTTCTAGAATCTCCTAGAATTGTGGTTCTATAAATCTTGCTTTCAAACCCTTCTAACTTTTCAACTTGCATCCTTCTTCAAGTTGTAATGCCTAATGTCCCGAAACAAAATTACCCCTACTAATTTTGTAACAGCAAACAGCCAGAAATATTTATTTAATTAAAAAAAAAAAATCACAGGAAAATGTGTAAAATAAATTTTATAGAGAAAACTGATGCATGAGAATTCTGAATATTCTGAGACAATAACATGAGAAAGCTCTTATCATGGGAAAATTAAAAAGAAGATATTTTTAATTAATTACATAGCTATTTTGCTTTTGCTAAGAACTGTTTCGTAAATTGTGCTTTATAGCATTATACCTTGTTTATTTTTCAGATTCAAAATATAATAAGTGATCAGATATAATAAGTGATATAATTAGTGATAAGTTTTCATATATAATAAGTGGCCAAAATAAACTTTATAATATGACAACAAAAAATAAAAATGTTACATTTTAATGTCAATTTTTAAATATAAATTTCAATATATTACCATTATTTTAATGAAACTTATCAATGTTACAATGTTTGAAATTCCCAGGTCTTGGAATTAAAAATTTACCATAGAAACTGATCTTACAAATCGCCAAAATGTTGATAAATTCCCAAATTTAGAATCGTTCAATAAAAGCATTCACATCTTCAAAAGAGAAAAGATGTTTAAGAACTCTTCATTAGAAAAAGTGAAATAATTTCTAAATGCTTATGTTTCACTTCTTGCTCAAAGACTAGAGTATCCCACATTTACATTAGAAATAGGAACAAATTATAACCCATTCAAAAGATAACCATATTTATCAATGAATCGCCAAAAATATACCTCTAAAATGCTAATTCACACTAAAAAAAATGGCAGTCGTAAAAATGGACAGAAATTTCACGATTAAAATTAAGGACCAAAAATTGATTCCAAAAAATTTAAGGACTCTTAAGGACCATACGAACCCTGCATATCATCATTTAGAATCAGTTTCAGGAGTATGCCAGAAAAACTCCCTGAAATTTGAAAAGCAAATTTAACTAATAGTAAATAAATTTAGAAGGAAGAAGCCATATAAAATGATAAAATAACATGAAATAAAGTTAATAGCTTAAAGATTAAAAACTGAATTACAATAATCATATTTCGGTGAATATAGTTATATTAAACAGTTAGCCTAGATGACTGATTATTATTATTATTTTGACTGCAAAATGACAAGCTATTTATTAAAAAGAAAAAAAAAAAAAGTTAAGATTTTGTGGTAAAATCCTAGTACACGGTACAGCCTTGGCAGGGTTTTCAGAACTTTCACCAACACCAAAACAACTCCTTTGGTGCTCATCGCAATGTTGCCAAATCCTGTGTATACTGTATACTAGGATTAAACCGATTTTGTTTTATATGAGAACAGGAAAGCATTTTCTTTCGTTCGGCGTGCACTGCATGCGAACGAGTCTCTCGATTCTCTAGGTTACTAGAAACTTGCTTTGCCATTCCAAAAGACCATCTGATTGCAGTTGTGAAAATTGGCTCTATGCCAGAAGCCAGAATAATACTCACGCAATACGTGATTTGCCAAGAAAGTGATCACTTCCCCCACTGGCACAAAAATTGCTTTTTTGGGATCGCCATTATGAAATTTCCCGACTTTTCCAAATTTTATCTAAAATATTTAAATTCCCTGACATTTTTGGTCAATTTTTGAATTCCCTGACATATCAGGTACCATAGCAGCTTTGATTAAAAAAATAAGGTACTTTTAAAATTTCTGTAAATTAATTGCTGAATTTAATGTGGCTTGAGTGTAAATTAAGTTAAATGTAATAACAAAGTTAAAAAAAAAAATGTGTTAGTCGAAGTGAGCCCAGGATCTGACTGGCAAACTCTAGTGAGATTTTAAAAGAATCTTTTTAGATTGTCTTATATTATTTAAATGTCAATCTCAAAGTGATTAGAAGAAGTGCATATTTGCATTTTATGACTTTTCTGGTAACATTTTTCCTGTGATAAGTTCTTGAGATATCCTTTGTTTACCTTGTGCTAAATTTGTACTACTGCATTTTGTATCATGGGTTTACTATATAAGTATTATAATACGAGCTGTGAACTTATTTGAGGAATTTAACTTGCTTTAGTACAGCTCATCTTGTGGCAGAACCTATAGAAAATAGGAATCTGTTTGATGCTATTGCCAGACAATACTCACTGGAAATCAATTCACCACCTAAGCGTGCCACTAGAATTACTGATGGTGTATCAGCAACTATCAGCTAATACACAAGCACCTAGCAAGAATACCTGTATTTCAACAACATTTGTTAGCTAAATTGGTATGATTATTTATTTTAGTGTCTGTTTTCATAAACTTACATTCGTTAAGATGGCATTTACATTATTAAAAAAAGTAAGAAAGCAAAATATCTTAAAATTATAAGTTATTATGTGCCAAGTAACAAAAAATCCCACGACTGGATAAAGCTGGTCATGCCACTCAGCAAGTTATTGAGGGAAAACTGCTAATTATATTAAAAAGGAAAAATATTTATGCAAAATGAAATAATGTGATAGCTACCACTAATATATTAATTGCATATATTTCTTTACATTTGCGTTAAAACTACCATATAAAAAAAGCATACAAAATAAGCCTCCCCCCCCCCCCTTTTTTTTTTTTTTTTTTTTTTTTTTCAGAATTGCAGAATAAGCATTCAAAGAAAGAAGCATTAAAATTATTATAAATATTTTCAATTCAACAATAATAAAACAATCTACATATACAACTATATTTTAAATACTTTGATTTCAATAATTAAACTTGAAGTGTAGTAACTGCAAATTACAAAATTAATCCAGCAATTTTTACAAATTCCCATTAAAAGAAACTTCGGTACTTCCTTATTATGTTGGCCCCCCAAGACTGAATCACTAATCAACCATGATATCTCGCTGAAATCTCATCACATGTTCTTATACCTCACTACATGTTGCATGTCAGTTGATTAGTGATTAAATTTTGGGAGATGCTTTAATAAGTATGTACTGAAATTTCTTTATATGCAAGTTAACAATATCATTGTTTTAAAAATTTAAACTTCAAATTACCTGAAGATATTTAAAATTACAAATGATCATATCAATTAAAAAAAATTGCTGCCATAGTTAGCAGTGTGGAGGTAAAATCTTGAATTACATCAGATCGCAACAATACACTAAAGATCAAATTAAATGGGGAAGCTGAACTCTCAACATTTTCAATTTAAAAAAATTTCAATGCCTTTCAAATATAAAATCATGCATGTTATTATTTATATTTTCTTAATTTGAAAGAAAAATTGAACATAATTACAGATGATCAACATAAAAATCTTTCACTTCAGAATTTAATTCAAGTACTGTAGTTCACAATGTTTATAACGTTTTTATCTTTAATATTATGCTCTTCAAGCAAATGAGCTAAGAAATTATTGATCTTACAAGAGCCGTAACATTTTGCACAGAGATAATCATGGGTTTTAATATCTTCTGATGTTGTAAACCCATCAGCAGCCGTAATATCAAAAGTTTCATGTATTTGTACTTTGGTTGCACCTAAATAAAATGTGTCTAGATTAGCATTAGACAGTACCTGAATTGTAACAGAGGATGAGCTGGTAACTGTACTCTGGGATCTTTCACCTGTAACAGTTCTTTCAGTTCTGTCAGTACTACAAGATGGCTGACTATCCAGAATGTTAAACGGCTGTGGAGAACACCCCGGTGAAGATGCAAATATACCACCAGGAGTCAATGGTGGAGTCAAACACGACCGTGGTGTTTGAAGCACCTGATAAGGAACTTGGCCTTGTGATGAAGTACATGCAGTATCTTTGTAAGATGAATCTACCTGTGATGAAATAGAGGAAGTACTTGCACAGGATATGTTTGCTTCTCCTGCAACAGATGTAGTAGTATCTACATAAGATGTTGTTATGGGGACTGTAACGGAAGTAACACTTTCAGGATACATATGAGAATGTGAAGCATTAAATGTATTACTTTCACACAGTGGACTTGGTTGTGATGCCTCTATTGTAGGACTTTCAAAAGATGCTGGCATACCTGCAGTACTTTTGTTCATGTCATCCAACAGGTTCTTCACAAGCTCCTCTGTTTGACAATCCAGAATTTCCTCTTTGGGTATTAGTAAACCAAATGAAGAATCAACAGATGGCTGTAAATCAATATCATTAACGTTATTTCCAGGAAACAAACTACAACGAGGACATGGTTTTTCTTCACCTTCAGGTCCAATTTTTGCATTTTTACATCGACATTCACTAAGTGTTATAAGTTTCTCTACAGAAGTATTACCTTCAATCAAACCTCTCATAAAAGACAGAAAATTGTCATCAGTCTCTGGCATTATCGGACGACTAGTTGAAGTGCTGGGTGTGTCATTAGTAGTTTCCAATCTAAAGTTTTCTTGAAATTGATAATTATTTAAAACACTTTTTAATCCATTATCTGTATTTAATGAATCAGACTGAGAATACTGTTGGTTTACATGAGAGGGCATAACTGGTGAATCAAACACATCTGTTTGAGATGTATTTTGATTTTCATTTATCGTGCATGATGCTGCTTGATGATTTAAATTTAAGCTAGGAACATTTCGAGATTTTAATGTTGAACTTAAAATAGTTTTAGAATTAAGAGATGTATCAGGTTGACTCTCAGATACAACACAAGAAGACAATGTATTGCCATTTGGCATACCTGATAAATCTGGACAAGGTATTGCACCAATATGCTGAGGATTGGTAGTATCAATGAGATTAACAGATGTAACAGTCTGAGAAAATGGTAAGTTTGCATTAGCAAAAGCATTTGAAGAACAGGATGGATTTATTTGTTGATTGTTAGATATTCTTACATCTTGTACAGCTGATGATGTCTGACAATATACAGAATTAATATTTCTAGTTAATTGTGATGAACTGAAAGTACTATTTTGTACTGAGGAGACTGCTACATTAGAATCTTCTTCCTCGGTTGTTTTTTCTTTTTTAATCCTCACTTGGGTTATTAAAGGATTCTGATTCATATGTGACTGCAACAGTTTTATACTGTCATTTATTTTAGGTCTAGGGAAAGAACAGCCAGGTTTACGATTTTGTTTCGGAAATCTATTGAGTGAAGAACATCTAACATTTGGATGCAAGTGTCTTTTTTTCAAATGTAATCGCAAGGACATCACAGTTCTCCTTTCACCGGGGTGTTTTAAAAGATGGCTTTGCGATAATATGACATCAGAGAATATCTTTTCACAAACTGGACACACATATAAAGGAAGGATTTGTTCTGAATATGTATGTGGTATGACGAATTTTGGGACCTGAACATAACAAGATTGCATATATTTAAGTCGTTCCTGACATGAATGGTTTTGGAATGAAAAACTGCTAGTACAGCTAAAACCACAGTTAGAACAAACTTTCATAGATAAACCAGCACCTGCCACATCCAAGTATAAACAAGACTTTTTATGTACGTAAAGGCCAGAGATTTGACTATAACTGGAATGACAAAGTGTACAGAGCCACTTCACTTCACTAAGAGCAACCAATTTTTTTTTCTGTTTCACAAATTTACATGAAGAATAGTGAATAGAGGCCAATTTTTCTTGCTTAAATAACTTTTGGCATTTAGCACACATGAAAGATGGGTTATTTTTATTTTGGGGTAAAAGCAGAATTCCACTGTCTGAATCAGGAAGTGACTTGATTATATTTTCAATACTTAAAACCTCTTGTGAAAGTTGTTCTGAAGGTCCTTTTAATGCTGAACTTTCAGTGTCACTTTTATTTCTTTTCACAAACTCAAATTTATTTAATTCTTCTCGATAAGAGGTATCCTTTGCAGTAAATTTCTCAGACTCGTTGCTTCCTTTATGATACTTTTTGACTAGCTTTGTTGGTGCTTGTTTCTCAAGCTTCTGTTTGAAACTGCGAGATTTTCTTCTGAATTCATCATTACAAATTTCACCTTTTTTTCTAACTGATTTCTGAATATCTTTACTTGAGTTTGATGTAGGAAATGCAGAATCCTTAAAATTATGAATTCCAAAAGTTTTGTGTTTCTTAGGGAGAAGTTCATTTTGTTGAAAATTGACATTAGTATTCCTTTTGGATTTTGTACAAATCTCAGATATGGGAAATACATTTTTCACATTTTTAATTGCTCTACTTTTCTTTGTTTTCATTTTATCAGAGTCTGAAAACTTTTTTTCATTAACACTTGGCATTTCATGTTTTTTCTTTTGTATCTTTGGTTGATGCGTTTGTTGTTCAGTATCAGAAAAATTATGAGAGATGTCATCCACTTTCCTTTTATCATAAACATTTAGAATTCTAGACTTATTATTCTCTGACAGCTCTTCTGTTTCATTAATATTCAAATTACTTGCATTAGTAGTACAGCTTGAATCATAAGGTATTGTTATATCTTTACAAGGTAATTCTTTAGAATCCAGAGTATTGCTACGCAAAACATTTAAATTAGATTTAGGCAATGTATGCCTAAGAGAGTGGTCATTTCTACTTTTATCAATGACTATTCTGCATGTGTTGCAAAATACACCGCTTTTGTTTCTAGCGGGCAAACATTTGTTACACATTTCACATTTATCAAAATATTTATCCTTGCACCTTGATCTGTGAGCAAAAAGTGAATTCCAGGTTTGAAACACTTCTTCACAAATCGAACACTTCACTCCTTTTTGAACCTTCTCACTTAATGATTCTTCTTTTTTAATCTTCTCACTTGATGATTCTCCTTTCTGAGTGTTCTCACTTAATGATTCTCCTTTTTGAGTCATCTCACTTGATGATTCTTCTTTTGGTGTCTTCTCACTCGATAATTCTTTATCATTCTCACTGTCATGCTTAGAACTTTTATGCATCTTTAATTCAAAGTCATGTCGAAAACTAGCAAAACACAATGAACAAGGATATGGAAGACATATATGGTTTACCCGGCTGTTAAAGTCACTGTAAGTGATTTTACAATGAGGGCATTTGTTAGACTCAGATGATAATTGAGATGAATCACTAGATGCTTTCACTTTTGAATTATCAGAAACTTTATTACATCTTGAATTCCCAGTTGTCTTTTTTTGCTTTTGAAAATTAACAATGGATCCCTGTGAACTACAAACTGTTTTCTCAATTTTAAAATTCGTACAGCTCTGCTTTTTGTTTTTCTGACTATTAGTACTCCTATGATTCTGATTCATTGCAGTCATTTTTGAAGAACAAATTTTGCTGCTTTTTGAACTTCTTTTCTCAACACCAACACTATCATCATGAGAGTGATCCATTAGTTCAAAGTCTGATGCATCAGAAATTTTACTGCGTTCTGAATCAACAGATGCTCGTTTCTTTGCTCTTTTAATGCAAACGTCATTCCGTAATTTATTCATGTCAAACATTTTTAATTTGTTGATGTTTTGTATTTTGTAATAAACAGCATTGCATGATAAATACTGAAGGTGATAAATTCAATGATGGCCTTGAATTTTCTAAAAAGAAATATTTAAGTGTTTGAAAATGAATGCATAAGCAATAAAAAGCAATAGTATAAACAACTTAAAAATTTCTTTTATCTTTACAATTACAGTAAACCTTTGCTGAATGTGGGGATTTCATTATTAATACATTGCATGTACAGCAAAATCATGTTCCACAAAGTTAACTTTCTATGGAAAAAAATAGGTCATGTATAGTACAGATTAAGAAAGTATGTATAATTTAAACAAACCTAAATATTATTGTAATTAAAAGAGAAAAATAAAACAAAGAGTAAATGTAAACTGAAAGTACTTCTATTACAGCTTAAGTAGCTACACAATACAAATATGTTTTTTAATATCTGGTGGTTATTGCTTGGGAGAATGTCTGATACATTTTAAATGCTTTTAAGTGATTCAAAGTAAAGAGTGCAAAGTTTTTCAATACCTCACATAAAGTATGTCTTTCTCGAGTCTGTTTCAATTGCAAAATCAGTTTTTACCTTTAACAACTATTGTATGTTGTACATTAAAGGCTCTTTATCGTCCTCACTACCAGTGCTTTTGCCATCAGTTACCATCACTACTAGTGTTACACAATCATCTAATTCTTCATTTGTCACTTGACCCATTGCCACTCTTGACTAAATCTTTGATTTGCCTTTCTTCTATACTTGAAAATCCTTCACTGCCTATTGCTCTTGCAATTTGTACGTTTTTTTTTTTTTTTTTTTTTTTTTTTTTTAATTAATTTTTAATCAACTGAAATCTTTAAACTACTGTGAACTTGTGAACTTTTGGCCAGAGCTGATAACAGCAGACATTTTGATGAATCCTTTTGTTCTCATGTATTATCATTTCTATTCAGTGTCTTATGTTAAATTGCTTCGAAAATGCCATTAGTGTATCATGCTTTCCTTCATCTAGCACTTGCAGAGACTAAAACATGCCTGACAATAACAGGTTTTTTGATCCACTGGTTGAATTAAGGAAGCAGGTTTTTCTGGAAGGAATAAAATTTGGATGTATTGTTGTGAGAGTTTTAGCATCATATTCTGAAGCAATATCGAGGATTAGGAGAACTTTACAGCTCAGGGTTTGCTGTTCTAAACAACGTTTGTCTTGAGCTACAAGTTTTTCAAACCAATCATAAAAGAAAATTACTAAAGAAAAAACAAATCAAAAAGAAAAGCGTCTGATACTCTGTAACATACTGCATGTAACTAAAATTATAGCATTGAATAAATTACATAAAGACAATTAAGAAAATGCATAAAAGCAAATCGCATTCAGCAAGGGTTTACTATAAATAAATTAGAGAAAGTAATAAAGCATTAAAATAATGCCTTTTAATTATCTTTAAAGCAGACACACACACACGGATGAATTAAGAAAATTTACATTTCATTACAAATTACAGCAGAATTCTGAAAACCTGCATATTAGAGAATTTTCAGGATTACAGGTCTTTCAGAATTTTTTTTAACCTTTTTATATCAAATCCACATTGTTTGTACATACATAACTAATCAAAACATATTCATATCTTAAGAATTACATAATCAGGATTTATTGAACAAAAAACTGCTAAATATTTAAAAATATTTATAATTAAATAATATCAGTTTAAAAAACAGAGGTGAGGAAAAGAGATAAAAGATACAAAATCTTTTTATGAAGGAAAGAATTTTTTTTAGCTATATAGTATATTTCAGATGGAACTCAATGTCTGAAAAGTTTGGACTGATAAATTCTTATACATGTTAAATAGCTTCAACAATAATAAAAATAAATATCAATTCTTAATCAAAATGTTGTAAGTAATTACCTAAACTTAAGCCCACAGAAGAAACTCAGTCATGATTGCTCACAAAGTAAGTGCCCATATGGACACAGGGTTCATAGATATTTCTGCACATGGAAATTAAAATACTTTAAGAGGCTTTTAACACGTTCCCTGCCAGACCGTTTTTTGAAAACTTCCCGTTCAGGCCGCATGGGGCATATGTGCCCCACGCTTTACATTTGTATTATTTTGTTTCTGGCGTATGCCTTACAATAATTAAAATAGCGCAAAAATCATAATTATCAAGGAAAGGTTGTATAGTTTAACATGCATAACACAATAAACCAACAAATTTATTTTTCTAGGAATTAGTTTAACAAATAATCTGCCTGAACATTATTGTGCCAAGAAAGTTGCATCCTCACATATAATTTTTTTTATCGTACGTATTAAAGTTTTAAATATAACATTTTAGTTAAATTCAAGTTTATATGCAATTACAACAAAGGGATGTTACGATAAACTTTATTAAAATATGGCAAAAATAAGTGTGGTTTATCCACACAACTATCGCAGAATGTCGCAACTTTTACAGTACAGTTTCTTGGCGATTGGGAACCCAAATTTTTAACATTTCTTTCGTAACAAATTTTACAGCGCCTTCTTATCGAATTAAAATGGCCTTCCTCGTCATCAGAATCATCACTAGAAAAACTGTTGCTGTGTGATGCCATATTTGCTTATAAGAAGTAATTATTGAAAAATTTGGAAAAGGTCTGAAGAAGAAAAGGCGGGAAAAATTGCAACCATTTTTAAATGCAAAATATCCGAATTTATTACACTGAAATAATATGTATGTACCATATTTCCTCCGTCTAACACACTGAACTATAAATCAATCCTAGCTTCAGTGAAGCAGTAAGTAGTTTATCAACGACACGCAAATAAATGACTGATCGAAATATGAGGAATGCAGTTGAAACTGTTGGCTTTAGTTTTCCACATGCAAATTTTGATCGGAGGTCGATCGGCGGTAAGCTAACGTGGTTGCCGCTGATTGGCCGATGACGTCAAGATCGGCGGGTTGGCTGAATATAATATATATGTACGCCGGTATCGCCAAAAAGTTTTTTTGGTGTTCTTGTTCTCTTGTGTTATTATGAGTTAGCATAATGCTACTTTGCTTTCACTAAATGATTTTAAATGTAAAGGCTAAAGTGTTAGCTCTTTTATTTTATTTACGGAATAAAGCAAGGATTTTATTTAGTTTAGTCTTAGCTTTATTTATGGGAAGCAAAACATGCTTTGCCTTTATCACCACTGCCAACAGGGTTATGGGCCCAGCGTCAACAGCTAATCAGTCATCCAGTTGAACTCAGCTTTGAAGGAATGTAGGTGAAAAGGGCCGTTATCCACGAAAAGAAGCTGACCTGTCTTAGAAGTTTGTTTAAGTCGTTGTGCTCACACTTAATTGAAGATGTCATTACTACCTGAAGGTTTTGAGTTGTTAAACCATGACAACTGGGATCGATGGAAAGTCGACATGAAAATGCTCTTACTGGATAGAAATTGTTGGAGCTTCATAGAGGACAAAGAAGAAGAATTAGATAAAAGTGCAACAAAGCGTGAAAAGCAGGAGTTCACACTGAGGGAGAATAGAGCCTTCACTACATTATATTACGGAATTAAAGCTGAGTTCAGGCCGCTGATACAAGAATGTTCAAGTGGTAAAGAAGTGTGGGAAGTTCTACAGAAGCAATTCGAACCCAAAACAAGAGCAAGGATAATTCAGTTACTGGATGAATTTTTTAGTATTAGATATACGCCAAATGAAGAAATAGGATTATTCATCGCAAGAATAAGAATGACTGCAAAGAAGTTGGCTGAAGCTGGTCACAACTTGGCAGATCTTTTTAAAGGATTTCAGGCAATAAGGAGATTACCCCAAGAATACTCCGGCATTGTACAGTTGATATATAGGTGGAAGGACGAAGATTTTACGCTGGAAAGAATTGCTGAAGAGCTGGTAAGGGAAGAAAGCCGACTTCGCCAGGTAATTGCCGATTTAGAAGACAGCAAGGTAAGCATGTTTAATACTATTAGTTTAAACTCAGGGAAAGATAAAGTTGAAAACAAAACTAAATCTAAGAAAAAAATGGGGAATATGAGAATAGGACCTTGTTTCAGATGTCATAAATTTGGGCACTTAATTGCTCAATGTAAAGAAAATGTAAGTAAAAATCAGAAGTTTAAAATAGACGATAAAAATGGACAGTCTAAACATAAAGAATTAATGTTAGTAGAAAATTATGTAACAACTACAGATAAAGGAGGTAACGCAGATAAATTTAATTGGGTCGTAGATACTGCAGCTACAACTCATTTCTGTAATAATAGAAATTTAATGACAAATTTCGAAGAAATAAACGATATACGTATGTCTTTAGCTGTAGGAAATTGTGAAAGTAAAATATTAGGAAAGGGTACTGTCAAATTTGCAGTAAAAGTAGGCAATCGAATAAATTGGATTGAGTTAGATAATGTGTTATATACTCCAAATCTAAGAAGAAATTTATTATCGGGAGCAAGGTTAGAAAAGGCTGGTGCTCATTTTGTGATTTCAAAAGGGAAGATGTGGATATACTTTAATAATTTGGATAGATTATGCTACGCTAAACGATATGACGGACTTTATCACGTAAAAACCATTTAGATATGCAACAGGTAAAAGGGAAGCTGGTTACGGTACAGAAATTGGAAAGTTAAATAAAAATAGACGATGCGCAATGCTATGGCATCGGAGATTTAGCCACGTAAACTTTTGATTATATTGAGAAAACTAGTAAGAATCAAAGTGTGAAAAGGGTTACCAGAAATTGAAAAACCAATAGAGAGGTGTAAATCGTGTATTATTGCTAAATCTAGTAGAATAACTTTTAAAATCTGTTCCGAAGAGATCGGATAAACCATTGCAGTTGGTTTATTTAGACGTTTGTGGCCCACTACCAGTTCCATCTAAGGGTGGGAGTAAATATTTTCTTGCTATTGTAGATGACTATAGTAGATTAGTAACAGTGTATTGTATGAAAAATAAAAACGAATCGTTCTACAACTTTAAGAATTATCATAGGCAAATGGAAAGACTGACAAATAGAAAATTAATAAGTATACGCACCGATAATGGTGGGGAATTCTGTAATAGGCAATTCGAAGGGTACTTAGCCGAAAATGGAATTAGTGTTGAACGCACAAACGCGTACACCCAGAAGAGAAGAATTTATGCAGAAGAGAACGGTGTGTGTGAACGTTTTAACCGAATGGCATTAGACGCAGTTAAAGCTATGCTTAATGATGGTAAAATGGGAAAAGAATGGTGGGCAGAAGCTCTTGGCTGTTTCGTACATACGTGGAACAGAGTATGTCATAAAAGCAACCGAACCCCTTATGAAAAGTTCCTTAATAAAAAACCCAGTGTTGTTTATTTTAAAGTATTTGGTTGTAAAGCCTATGTTGGCGTGCCAAAACAGATTAGGAATAAATTAGAAATGAGGTGCAAAGAAGGAATCATGGTAGGATATGCGAAGGAAACTAGAGGTTATAGGATATGGCTGCCAGAAGAACGCAAATTAATAGAAACCTGTAATGTGAAGTTCGATGAAAAACTGTATGCAGCAAATGGCATCCTGGAACAGAAATCAAAACCTAAATTTAAAAGACTAGAGGAATCTGAGCTATTAGCAGAATCAGATGAAGAACAGGAAACTTCTAGAGAAGAAATAAAGTTGTCAGATGACAAATCTACACCGAAAGAAGTATCAGACTTAAACTGGCAAAGAAAAGCAGTTAAAAGGCCAGATGGAACACGTACAGACATATATTATTATGTAGAGGGAACAGACACCCGTTTTAGATCCTATAATGATATTGAAAAGTATTGTGAGGCAAGAAATATTAAATATGAAAAAGATAAGTTCGATTTTAGTGGAAAAAACGAATACTCGGGGAAAGTTAATTTCATGGAACAGGAGACTAGTTCTGTGTCTGAAGAGGCAAATTCCGTAGAAATAGTTATCCCACAAAATTTTAAAGAAGCACGAGAATCAGTAATTGCCGAAGAATGGGATAAGGCAATGAAAGAAGAAATCGACACAATAAAGAAAAGAAAGGTTTGGGAATTAGTCGAAAAGCCAGAAAATAAAACTATAATAGGAAACAAATGGGTCTATACGCTAAAAAGAAATGAAAAGAATCAAGTGGTTAGATACAAAGCACGCTTAGTAGCACAGGGATTCAGGCAGAAAAGGGGTGAAGATTTTGATGACGTTTACAGTCCTGTAGTAAATTTTTCAATCATAAGAATATTTTTCACTATACTGGTATGTTTATAAGGATGGACTAATTGTCAGTTAGATGTAAAGAATGCATATTTATATGCAAACCTAAATGAGAAAATATATATGACCCAACCAGAGGGATTTATCGAAGAGAAAAATAAAGTGTGTTTATTACACAAGGCCATTTACGGTCTACATCAAAGCGGCCGTGAATGGTTTTGTGAATTTGAAAGTACTTTAGAAAATCTACATTTTAAGAAAATACAATGGTGTAATTGTGTTTATAAGGGTTCAAATGTAATTATCTTGTTATATGTAGATGATATGGTGATTTTTAGTAAAGATCAATATAGTATAGATAAAGTAATTTCACAGCTGAGTAAGTTTTTTGATCTTAAAGTATTAGGCAAAACTAAAACGTTACTTGGAATTGAATTCTTAGAGAATGAAAATGGGTTTTTTTATACATCAGCAAAAATATATCGAAGAAATTTTTGAAAAATTTAAACATTTCCAGATACCAATAACTTCACTTCCCATAGCTAAGGGCACTATTCTTACAAAATTAGATTGTCCATCTACAAGTGCAGAAATTACGGAAATGCATACATTACCCTTTAGAAATCTGTTAGGATGTTTAGTTTTTGTAGCTAACAGGACAAGGCCTGATATTACATATGCAGTGAATATCTTATCACAATTTCAGGAGAATCCTGGAATTAGGCATTGAAAGCATTGTTGAAATTGCTTGGTTATCTCAATAGTACTAAATTATATAAGTTAAACTTATCAAAGATTAAACATCTAAATTTACATTGTTATTCAGATGCTGATTATGCAAGTAATAGAGATGACCGCGTGTCCATGGGAGGATTTATATTATATTTAGATGAAGTACCGGTAATCTGGAAAACTGTTAAACAAAAATGTGTAAGTTTATCAACCATGGAAGCGGAGTATATCGCCTTATCTGAAGCAGCGAAGGAATTAATGTGGACGAAAAATGTCTTACAAGATGAAATTTTAAAGTTTAATTTAAGAGAGTGTAAACTATTTTGTGATAACAAGTCTGCCATTGATTTTTCTAGATCGCCAATAGAAAATCGCCGAACTAAGCACATAGACGTAAAATATCACTTTGTTAGAAGACTAGTAAATGATGGAGTGTTTGACCTTGAATTTATCACCAGTAAATTAAATACTGCCGACTTATTTACAAAAGCAGTGACTGCTGTTAATTTAAGAAAGTTTTGTTTAGATGTTTTCAGTGTTTAAAGACAATAAGTATTTTTGTATAATAGAACTGAACTATGAACTTCTGTGAAAGTTTTGTTTTTGTCTTTGCATGGGGAAAAGAGGGCCGTTTGTTGGCTTTAGTTTTCCACATGCAAATTTTGATCGGAGGTAAGCTAACGTGGTTGCTGCTGATTGGCCGATGACGTCAAGATCGGCGGGTTGGCCGAATATAATATATATGTACGCCGGTATCGCCAAAAAGTTTTTTTGGTGTTCTTGTTCTCTTGTGTTATTATGAGTTAGCATAATGCTACTTTGCTTTCACTAAATGATTTTAAATGTAAAGGCTAAAGTGTTAGCTCTTTTATTTTATTTACGGAATAAAGCAAGGATTTTATTTAGTTTAGTCTTAGCTTTATTTTAAGGGAAGCAAAACATGCTTTGCCTTTATCACCACTGCCAACAGAAACAAGTTACAGAGAAAAAAAAAATTGACCGTCACGCACGCCCCACGATTAAATGAGGGCATCAGCAGTAGTATTAAGATGCCCATTATTGACTGCATAATGAATTTTTAAAAAATTCTTCATTTTACAATGATAATACCAAATGGCTTGAACGGAAAGTTTAGCGCCCCACGCGGCAGGAAACGTGTTAAGGACCATTAATTGGGGAGGGGGGAAGAATCAAGGACCTATCAACATATGGAAATTGAATAAATTCAATTAAAGATATAATCTATGCTTGAACTTCACTTCGTAATGCTGTCTTAAGTTTAAAACAGATCTGTAAATAACATGCATTATTATTAAACATAATTATACAAATTTGAGAATAAAATTTAATTGTAAAATTTTTTAAGTAGCATTAAATATTTTCACTTATGATAGTTGAACATATTACAGATTTTATAGCAAATGGCATAGGTTAAAATGAGAAGTAAAGTCAATCAGCACAATTCATATAACAGAAGCTTGGCTGTTGTCACCATTGCTGCTTGCCCAGACAGAAACCTGCTGATTAGAACAGACCTCAACACCTCACCTGGTGTCGCTGTGGTTGGTATGTGCTGAAACTTAGTTATGCTCTACCTGTCTGATGCAGTTAATGTTGTTAGTCTGGCATTCAGTCCTTGGAGTTGTAAACCAGTTAATACACTTTAAATTCCCAAATAAGCAACTGAAGCACCAGAAATGATAAGTTGTTTTGTAATATTTTAAGTCTCACCAGCTGCAAGGAATACAGTTTTGCACCATTTTTTACATTTCTGCGTTGTATCTTGCGGCCATAATAAGGATAAATGAAAAGCAATAATTTGCATTAACATGCAGAGGTAACTTTTAAAGGTGAGTAATTAGTTACAAATAGTGAAATTAAGTACTTGGATACCCTTAGTCATTATAGATTTACATAACCACTATTAAACTTTATTCATTTTTTAAAAATATTTGTGAAAAAAGTGCTATGAAAATCACAATATAAGAAAATTTCACAATTTAATACACCTATAATTATGACACGGATTCTTAAACAATATTAGCATAATTATACAGATAATAATTATATATTATAAAAGTCAAGTATATAATGTGTGTGCCGCTAAAACTCAGAAATGGGCTGTGGAGTCGGTAGGGAAAATGAACGACTCTGACTCGACTCCCTCATATATAGAGTACAAAGTCCGAAATCCGGACTCGTCTGGACTTCGGCGATTCCGGATCATCACTTCAAATCAGTTTAAATCTAGTAAGATGGTATGTAAAAATTATGAAATTAAAAATATGAAATCGTTATTTATGAAATAATGAAGTATTTGTGATCTAAAAGGTATCAAAATTTACAAAAAAAAAAAAAAAAAAAAAAAAGGAGGGGAGCTTAATATTTATTTGTTTACCTTATTAAACATTTCTTTCAATGCAAGTTGTTTAAGTTCCTCCATATTTTGTGCTAATACTTTCTCCTTAATTCAAGTACTCTTCTAGCAAGAGAGTCTGGGGACCAATGAACTTGAAAGCCTCTGCCTAGAGGTTCGGAGAGCTCACAGGAAAGCAGTCAGAAATAAATCTGAAGTTAACTGGTCTAACTTTAAAATCCTACAAAGAAAATTTAAAAGCGAAATCAGGAAAACTAAATACAACTCATGGAGATCCTTCTGGACAGATATTCTGTCCTACCATGAGACAGCCAGGGTACATAAGATTTTTAAGAGGTCTCAGGAGTCTCAACTCTCATCAGTTATACGACCAGCTGGCAGTTATACTATAAAACCTTTGAATACACTTTCGACCATGTTGAATTTTCATCCGGGGGACACAAGTGTAACCTTTACGGGAGGAACCCGGCCTGTCACATGCTTATGCAGATGACCTTATTGTGTTATTACAGGGTTTTAATATTAGAACCCTACACAATCAAAAGCTCAGCAAATCTTGAATAAAGTATCACACTGGAGTGAAAAAAAATGGCCTATCTTTCTCTGCTGAAAAATCAGAGGTCATAGTTTTCACGTGGAAAAGGAAATGGAGCTGGCAGATTTGTATCTGGGTACCCAGATTATTAGACATAAAGAATGCGTTAAATACCTAGGATGTTACCTGGACAGTAAACTCACATGGATCACCCATATAAAAGAAAAGGCACAAACTGCCACAAATGCACTAGTACTCTGCAGGCGAATCGTTCGTAAACAATGGAGCCTTAAGCCACAATCTACTCTATGGGTTTATATTGCCATAGTTTGGCCAATGCTTTCTTATGGATGCGTGGTCTGGATCAATGTTATTAACAAAAGCACATATTTAAAACATTTTACAAAAGGTACAAAGACTTGCTTGCCTATGCATTAGTGGGGCTTTAAACAGAACCCCTACGGCTGCATTAGAATTTTTATTGCAAATTCCACCCCTGAAATTTTCTTGAGGAGAGAAGCAATTAAAGCCATGTATAGGTTGAATAAAAATGGCACATAGTGCCAAAGGACAGGTTTCGGTCATAAAAGCCACATTGACATATGCCTGGAATTAGTTCCAACTGACCTAATTCCAACAGGATCAGTTGAATGCTACACAGATGGATCAAAATCCAACTTCATCGGAGCTGGAATTATTAGAAGAACCAAGGGATCTGGAGAAGATTTCATTAGAATTCATCTATACCTTGGTAAATTAACAACTGTTTTCCAAGCCGAGGTTCTGGCGATAAATATGGTCGCCAGGGAGCTCTTAGCCAAAAATACGGTTGATAAGAATATAAACATTCTCTCTGACAGCCAATCAGCCATCCTTGCTCTGGCTAATCGTTTCAAGTTACAAAACTGTGTTTTAAACGGTACTCAAGATCTCAATCCTCTGGCCCATAACACTATTAGTTTAGTTTGGGTCCCAGGTCATTGTGATTTTGCTGGAAATGAACTAGCTGATAAAGTAGCTAAAGATACTCCGCAACTACCCATGTCTGGCCCAGAACCATTTTACCCAGTTTCATATCAAACTGTTAAAAAAGAAGTAAGAAGCTGGATATAGATCAAACATGATGATTTATGGTTTAAACTACCAGACTGTGCTCATTCTAAATTGGTGCTCAGTACACTTATCAGGTAAACTCATACACCTTAGTAGAAGTAACTTAAGCCAGGTAATTCAAATTGTTACCGGACATGCCTGGCCAAGCATCTCAACAAATGTGGTCTTGTCGAATCTCCTCTCTGCCCAGCTTGTTGAGGAGAAGAGAAAGCACCTTTTCACTTCCTGGGACGATATCCAATATTTTCTGTCCCTAGAAACAAATTCTTTGGGTTTCTCTATATCAGCTTCAATCAGGTCCTTCAATACAAAGGGCTCTCTGGCATAATAGGGTTCCTGATGTATATTAAACACCTACAGGTAAAGTGAATTTGAAACCACAAGAAACAAGCATTCAGACGCTTTTTGTGTGTGTGTGTGTGTGTAACAGAAACTATACAGGGATCTCCCTTTCATAGCTGTGTTTTGGAATATAATTTGGAAATAGATATCAGATCTTTATACACCACCTTTTTTAGGCTCACCATCGCACCCTTGTTTTGATTAAGAGTTTGCGTTTGGTGGTTTGGGAGGGACTGAACGGATCTTCATCCAATTGGAAGTTTTAACAGACACCCTGAATTTAGAGATGGGATCTTTTGCTGATACTATATATTTGGTTTCAGTTTGGGATCTTATCTACTTATTTATTATTTATCTTTTGCGGGAATTACCATTTGAAATCTTTGTCTTAAATGATCAAATGGCAGAAGAGCAATGTGCAACATTGCCTAAGCTCTTTTCCTTCCGTTCATAAGAAGGAAGCACCACTATTGTTATGTTATGTTCTCTTTAATTCTGTAGACAGACATAATCTCTTGTTTAGTTACACTGTTAAAGTCCTGTAACTGCTGTGTCGCGAATTCTGACTAACTTGTCAATTGAAATTTTTTCTTTTTCAATAACTTCTCTGTCACTTTCTTCACTATCGGTAGCGGTTTTTTCTGGATCTAGAACCATACTACAGATTTTGCCATTCATTAATTGATTGATGATTGAGAAGTATTGTGATCACAAAGGAAAACATCTTTTATATCATCTTCATTTATTACCGCTTTTCCACATTTCTTTACAAGTTCCGTTAATTGGAAAAATTCACCTTAGTTTTGCCATATAAGAAAACCTTTAAAATTTGCGGCTATCATCATCAAATTTAGCTATCCTTCACCATACATATTTGGCTATGCATCATGAGCTTGCGACTAATGACAAGTTGTTCCTTAAATTTTATCTTGCTTCTATCGTACACTGAGACAATTAAGCCTGAATTTTATTAGTTATTTATTATATTTATTTCTTGCATATCCTTAAGGCTTATCAGAGTTCTGAAATAAATTCCCACATATACTTAAGCCTTATTGAGAGCCGGCGCTAGATATCTTACCGCCTGATACAGTCTCTGTGGGTCCTAAATTCTGCAACTCGGTGCGGCAATACGAGCCCTGGCGCTGGTTCTGGGTTTATGTGAATAACAAACCAGTTATTCTTAATTCAAATAGCCTTATGAGTATCATCAACAAAATCTATTTTTAGCATATGGAAAGAAATTTTTGTTAAATTTTCCCTCAAGATTTTTTAGCGCATTTAACTTAAATCTGTAATTAACGCCAAACGCTATGTCAACATAAAAGGTTACCATACTCCTTTATTATTCAATTACTGACATAAAAAATTGTTTAGCCATCGCTAAAAGTCATTACTCAAATTGTCATGTGTTGACAAATGATATATTAAAAACAGAAATCGATAAAATGCTTAAGCATAAAATAATTGAAACAGGAGATTCAGATTACACTTATCCTATGATTTTAGTAGAAGTTGCAGGGAAGAATCCAATACCTTGTATCGACTATAGAAAAGTGAATAAATTGACTAAAACACAATTCTTCCCCTTGCCTAAAATCGAACAACGAGTAGAAACGGTAGCAAGTGCAAAATATCTAACTCCTTTGGATTTAACAAAGGGATACTGGGAAATACCTTTAACAAAAAATGCTCAAAGTTTAGCCACTTTTGTTAAAAGTTTTGGCACATTTAGACCTCTACGGATGCCTTTTGGACTTTAAAATACACCATTTTCATTTAGTAAAACGATGGCCGAAATCCTTCACGGTTGTGAAAACTTTGCTGTTCCATATTTAGATGACGTGTCAATCTTTTCGAACACCTGGGAAGAACATCTAAGTCACCTGAAAGCCGTTTTGTCCAAAATAAAGGACGCTGGTTTAACTATTAAACCAATAAAATGTAAATTTGCTCAAGATAGAGTAAACTATCTAGGACATATTGTAGGTCGTGGTATAAGAATGCCAAGTGAAGTGAAAGTAAAAGCTATTCTTGATTTTCCAGTGCCATCCACAAAAAGTCAAGTCAGAGCATTTTTAGGATTAGCGGGATATTGTAATCACTACATTCTTGTACATACACTACACTCTTGTTCTCATCTATCGCAGCACCTTTAACAGAAACTTTAAAAGGAAACTTAAAGAAAGGGAAAATAAATTGGACAGAAGAGTGCACAAAAGCATTTGAAGAGCTAAAGGAGAAACTGTCTCAAAGGCCTATACTACATGCACCTGATTTCAATAAGGAGTTTATTTTGCAAACTGATGCTTCAAACTCTGGTATGGGTGTCATTTTAGCTCAAAAAGATGAACGAGACAATGAACATCCAGTATTATACCTCAGTAAGAAGTTTACAGAAACTGAAAAAAAAAAAAAAAGTACTCTACCACAGAAAAGGAATGCGTCGCCATAATATTTGCTGTAAAGAAACTTCAATGTTATTTAGACGGGCATACTAAATTCCTCATCATGACCGATCATAATCCCTTAGTTTGGCTCAAAAATAATGCGAGTCTAAATCCACGAGTTATGAGATGGGCACTAGTACTACAACCCTACAATTACACGATCATTCATCGAAGTGGTAAAAACCATAAAAATGTAGACACATTAAGTCATACTCCCTGGCCTGATTAAATAATTTGTTTCTCTATATAGATAAAAAAAATTTTGTTCCTTCCTCTCTTCCTCAGTGTATGTTATTATGTTATATCTTGTATTTAAATTCTGTATTGTGCTAATATTGTTGTTTTGGGAAAAAAAGAAGACCGTAAACTTTAATTTATAAAAATATAAATTAAAGTTTATCTGGAGGGGGGAGAGGTTGTAATACCTTGTTATTTAATAAATAAATATAATTATTGTTGAAGTGGCAATGCCATATTTGTATTAAAACGTCAGCAACGTGAGATATTGTTTTAAAGGATAGGATTCTGAAGATTTTTACAGCTAGGATTAGTATGAAAATTTAGTCGCTTAAGAATTGTATAAAATTTGTCTATTACCGTGACTAGAAATAAAATTTATGTTCTACTAAGAAGATTGTATGTTTTGTAAATTACTGCAAAATACATTACCACTTAAAGAAATTTTTACAAGTTTACTAGCTCTTCCAGATTTATTTCCGCAAATTTCTACCATTCTCAGCAACGAAAAATGGCAACTATTCCTCTCCAGCGTGCTCTTCA